ATTTATAAAAACCCACAGCTACCGTCATTCCCAGTGGTGAAAAACTGCAAGTTTACCCCCCAAAGACAGGAACAAGACAAGAGTGCCTGTGTTCCTTGACTATTACCCCCAAATCCATATATTGGGTTTGTGATAGTGTTTGGAGGTAGGGTCTTTGGAGGGAAGCGGGTTCAGATGAGGCGATGAGGCGATGAGGGGAGACTCTTCATGATGAGCTCAGCCCTGAGGAGAAAGACCGCGGACGCAGCGCCGACTGGGACGAGGGTTCTCCTCAGATCCCGACTGTGCGGGCCCCTGAACGTGCACACCCAGGCTCCCGAGGACGGTGGGAGATCAAGGCCGTTTAAGCGACTCGTCCCGGTGTTTGGCTGCAGCACCCGAGCTGTCTCACTGGGAGTTCTAGCTGGCGAGTTAGACGAGACACAGGAATAAGAGGTCTCAGTGGGAAAGACAAAGGAAACTGTCTCTGATGGGGAGTGACATGATCCTGCTTCTGGAAGTCCCCGAGAAGCCACTGCAGACTACAACACTGATACGTTAAAGATCTGAGTAAGTGGAAGATATCTGTGTTCTCGGATAGGAGGACTAAATACTGCGATGCTGCTATTAGCCAAAGTGCTCTACAGATCAGTGCAGTCCCTATGGAAATTCCGGTAGCTTTGCTTTGCGGAAACAGAAACCTGATCTTCAAATTCATATAAATTGCAAGGGACCCTAAATAGGCAAAACAATCTCAAAAAAGAATAAGTTGGAGAACTCTCAACATCAAAATTTACCACAAGCCCCGCCGGTGTGGCTCAGTGGATTGAGCCTTGTCCCAGGGACCTAGTTCAGTTCCCGATCAGGGCACGTGCCCGGTTTCAGGCTTGATTCCCAGTAGGGGGCGTGCAGGAGGCAGCCGATCAGTGTATCCTTTCACTTCGATGTTCCTCTCTCCCTCTCCCTGCCTCTCTAAAAAAAATCAATAAACACACACACACGCGCACGTGTGTGCGTGTGTGTGTGCGCGTGGATCTCCTGGCATGAGGATATAGACCAGCAGAATAGACCTGAGAGTCCAGAATAAGCCCGTGTGTCTGTGGCCAGTTGAGCCTGGACAGGGGTGCCAGGCCCGTTCAATGTGGGGAAGAATAATCTCTTCAACAAATGGTACGGGGACAACTAGCTCCCCACGTGTGAGAGTGCAGTGGGACCTGTGTCACATCACATACAGAAATGACTCAGAGCGGGGCGTCTCGTGCTTTCCCAAGTTCAAGGTGTTTCTATAGGAGAAAGGATAACTGAAGCGAAAATTACTTTAAAAGGATAAAGGTCATTGGGAACAATGCCTTTTCTTGTGTAGTTTATTAACTCCACAAATATTTATGGTAATAAGATAGTATTCTGTGCTAGGCACTAGAGATGCCGTGGTGAACAAAACCACACTTGTTCCCAGCTTTAATGGAATTAATGGAATTTACAGTCTAGGGGGGAGATAGACATTAATAAAATAATTCCACTAATGAATGTAACATTCCAGTAGTGATGTGTGGTATGCCGGAAAGCTCTGTGCTCGGAGGGCTTGTAACAGGACCACCTGGTCTCAGGGAGGGCTCCCCTGAAGGGGCGGAGCCGTGCTGCAGGGTGGTAGGTGCTGGCCGGTTAAGGCAGCGGGAGAGCGTAGGCAGCTCCCGTCTGAGGTTTGGGCTGTCTTTCCACAGAGAGCAGTGGGCTTAACAAGGACGGCACTTCAGCTTTTGTTTCTGAACCTTTGCAGCAAGGCCGAGGGGCCGTTTTCTGTCTGTCCATCTGTCTCCCAGAACCTCCAAATGCTCTGCACAGACAGTATTTAATAAACGGGCATTCACTGATGGAAGTATTTAAAAATGTACTAGATGTTAAATTTGCTTCAAGGTAATAAAAGTCTGAGGCAGTTAAAAGTTTTTCCTGTTTAAATTTTTAAAGAAAATTTATCTTAATTTTTAACCTCTCATGATCAAATAACGACATTATTAGGCAGCTACTGTTAGATAAAACATGATTAAATAGTGCTGTCTCCATAAATTATGCTCTCAGAACCTGTGTGTTTTTTGATTTAAAATAGATTTTTTCCCCATGTAATTTAAAAACCTCATTTTGAATGGGAGTAATATGAATGGCTTATGTAATTTCTGCCAAGGAATTCGTATGGACTAACCACTGTCACTTATAAGCAGATGCTTTTACCTGCGCTGATGTTGGCGTGGGCGATGCCTGGATGGGTCCCGTGGAAGAAATCGCCTTCCAGCGAACCGGCAGCTGTCGGTGCCTAGAGTTTGTGATGTTCTCTGTGGGCCGTCCGACTGCGGGCAACGTTAACTCACATGGTTCCTAATGTTGGAGAGTTAAATTTACTCTTAATTGAAAAGTGAATTTGCTTAAATTCTTTAAATACTAACCTTGGAAAAATATCTGGGGAAAAATAAAGGCACATATGATTTTGGTGGCCCACTGCCAAAAGCTTATCATTCACATCAACATCTCTTGAGTAGAAGAGTTGAATGTATTGAGCACAAGGGTTGGACGGGGACTCCCGTCTGGGAAGCAGCCTGCTGGCCGGCCGGAGCGCTCGGCTGCTGGACCACACTGTGCAGGCGGCTCGTGTGGGGCGGCTGAGACCCAGCTCCTTTGTTCCGTGTGACTCGTCCGCTCTGTTCCCATGGACAGCTTTCTCGCTGCTCTTAGTGTTTTGTGTTCAACTCCTAAATGGATGAACTACCTTGTTACCTGTTTAAGCTCTGATTTTGGGCCACTTCTGCAAATGATCCTGTGCGACCAATCTCCCAAGTTTTCCACTTCATTTGAAATGTATTTAATGACCAGTTTGAGTGCCATTTGTTAGAATGGGCTTTCGGAGGGCTTTCTGTTTCACACGTGTGTGCCGGGGTCCGTGAAAGGGACTTCTGAAATGTGTGGAAACAAAACCGCTGTTCTGAGATTCTCACTGGCACCCTCCTCTTTCCTTGTTTGCAAATTTGGTTCTCTGGATTTTCCCTTTGAGCTAGTAGCAAATATTGGGTCTTAGCAGTAAAGTGCCAGTCCCGAAGAAATAACTGTAACTAATAGTAGAGTAAGTTCCCAATTCACTTTTTGAAGGGTTTGAAAAATCTTACTGCTCCTCAGAAACTGTAAAATCTAACAGGTAATATTCTTGACTAATTGGTAGTTGAGTGTTTTGAAGATATGTCCAAATGCAAAGTGATTTTTAACAGCTTTATGAGCTATAATCGACATACAATAAAGTGCCGTATTAAAATTGTGCAGTTCCACAGTTTGGGTATATGTATGTATTTACCCGCAAAACCTCCCCAACGTCAGGAGAGTGGGTACCTCTACCGCGTACCAAAGATTGCTCCTGTTCCTTTGAGACCCCTTCCTGTCTCCTCTCTCCCTGCACCCCCGACTTCTCAGGGGACCGCCCTCTGCTGTCTGGTACTGTGGGTGGTTTCCGTTCTCTGGTCTCAGCATGAAGACCGTCAGCTGTGTCCTCCTGGTTGGTGGGCTCTGTCACTCAGTGCGATTGACTGTGAGACCGAGTCATACTGATGCGGGTGTACGTCAGTCCATCCCTTTTTGCTAAGTGGTATTCCGTCACATGGATGTACCGTGGGTTCGTTGTCTCTCCGTCTGCTAGTGGACATTTGGGTTATTTCTGGTTTTGTCCCCACCTCCTTGTCCGTGATGCTGTCTTCCCTGTGTTCTACCCCTTCCAGCTCTGACTGGCTTTCACGCTCTGCCTCGGACGGCACAGGGCCTTCACGCAGCAGGTGGAACCAGATGGAATTGTCAATATCTGACCTTTTGAAACCTAGAAAAATGGCAGTTTTACATAGTTTGATAAAAAAGTGTTTACCAAGTATTTTTTTTTTCTTTATCCTCACCCGAGGACATTTTTCCATTTTTTGCTCAGGTAGAGCAGGAGGGAGAGAGAGGAACAGAGAGAGAGAGAGAAACATCGATGTGAAGGGACACATCGAGTGGCTGCCACCCGCACGACCAACCAGGGCCGGGGACAAACTGCAACCGAAGTACGTGCCCTTAGCGGGAACCGAACCTGGGTCTCTCCGGACCGCAGGCCGACGCTCTAACCGCTGAGCCAAACTGGCCAGGGCGTTTACCAAGTATTTTTAAAGAATATTACTTTTTACACTTAAGACCTCTGCCTGATACAGAATTGTTTACCAGATGGAATTGTCAATATCTGACCTTTTGAAACCTAGAAAAATGGCAGTTTTATATAGTTTGATAAAAAAGTGTTTACCAAGTATTTTTAAAGAATATTACTTTTTACACTTAAGACCTCTGCCTGATACAGAATTGTTTACATGTATAAACTCAACTCTAAAAATTCTGTATAATAAATATCATCATAATATTTAAATAGTAGGTGACATATTAATTAGTAGTTACTATGTCTGTTTGATAAAATTATGTTCTCCCCACTCTATTTTTCTGTATTCTTCTGCCTTAAAAATATGCTTCTATAGTAGGTATATATTTCTTTTACAATAGAAAATAAAACTTTTTTTAAGAAAAGGAAAAACCTGTGCTAACTTTCTAGTTTGTGTAATTTATTCAGAAATTATTCTTTATTTCTTCTTTTCTTCACAAAGACAAGACCCAGGGTATACTGTAATAAGCGCGGACCTTAGAGTCCGTCACATCCCCGTCTTGTGACGTGTGGGCGGCTGTTTAAGTCGTCCGAGACCTGTCGTCCTCATGGCAAACGGTGGCCCCTTGGGTTTCGCTGAGAGGTGCTTGTCGCTGTGTTTTCCTGGCCCCACTTGTTACTCTGACCTCACTTGTCACTTTGGCAGTTTTGTAACTATACCTCCTATTTTTTTCCTTAAAATTTTTTTAATGACAGCAAACTATGGTAATGTATTATTTATTTTTATAAATAACAAATTTTAAGTTATGCATACAATTTGCCTTTCTAACAGTGACGTTAATGACCTTTTCCATTTCTTTCTTGATTGAAGAATATCAAAGAATATTCCAACAACAAAAGATGTTGAGCCACTGCTTGAAATCGATGGGGACATCAGAAACTTTGAAGTGTTTCTATCTTCGAGGACCCCGGTTCTAGTGGCTCGGGATGTGAAGACTTTTTTGCCATGCACTGTGAACCTGGACCCCAAACTACGGGAAATTATTGCAGGTGGGTGTTCATAGTGCATTGAATTTTTCATCTCTGAAGTACTCAAAATTTTCCTTTTTGTTAATCCTCACCCAAGGATATTTTTTCCATTGATTTTTAGATAGAGTGGAAGGGAGAGAGAGAGAGAGAGAGAGAGAGAGAGAGAGAGAAACATCGGTGTGAGAGAGACACATTGATTGGTTGCCTCCCAACCGCGCCCCAGCTGGGGTACATGCCCTTGACCAGGAATCAAACCTGTGACCCTTTGGTGCAAGGGCCGATGCTCTAACATTGAGCCACACGGGCCAGGGCAAAAATTTTCTTATATTTAACTTCTTAGCTATATAAGTTTCTCCTGCTGCATGAGACCCAACAATTATTGAACCAATCTCTACACAGGAGGATTAGTGATTGGGAGTCTCGGCATCCTTTTGAGAATGTTAAGAAAATGTTATTTGGCCCTGCCAGGTTTGGCTCAGCAGTTAGAGCATCGGCCCTCAGACTGAAGGTCATGGGGTTTGATTCCAGTCAAGGGCATATACTTGGGTTGCAGGTTCAGTCCCTGGCCCTGGTCAGGGTTGTGTGGGAGGCAACCAAGTGATGTGTCTCTCTCACATTGATGTTTCTCTCTCTCTCTCTCTCTCTTTCTCTCCCCCGCCCTCCATTCGTCTCTATCTAAAAATCAATGGATAAATACCCTCGGGTGAGGATTAATAACAACAACAAAAAATGTTATTTATTAAACTCACTTTACTATGTTTCCCACCCACACACCTGAACCCTTACTCAGGTTTCTTTAACGTTTAGTCACCGCTTTCGGATGTCAGTCCACTGTGACTCTTCTGTCACCAACCTCTGTTCCTAACAGGGACCTCCACCCAGAGAGGCAAGGAAATCTTGGCATCACTTTTAAATTTTAACTTGGGTTTGTGGACTGGAGTTTGGGGAGTAACTGAAGTGTTGGAGGCACCACTAGGTACTTGTGCGTACATACAAAACCTTGGCTGAAGCAGTTTTCTGTGTGACACGCGCTACTGACCCGCCTCTGAGTGTCCAGGAGTTAGGAGGAGAGAGCCCGGGACCCCACGCGCACTCTGCGGACACCTGCCGTAAGGCTGACGTCGCGGCGGTGGGACAGGGACGCATCTCCCAGCCCCAGTCTCGGCCGACATTGTGCTCATTACCACCAGGCAGGCGTCAGTTGTTAAGAGCTGCTAACACTTACGAACCTATTGTTAGAGTAGCACAAACAAATACCTTGAAGGGTCAGAGGAAAATGGGTAGTTCTGGTGACTGAAGAGAAGGGTCCGATGTGCTCGGCCTTGCGCATCATGAAGAGCTTCTGTGCGGAGGAGCCGGGCTTCTTGCCCGGGGCTGCGGGCCGTCCGGCCGTCTCCTCCTCTAATCCAGTCGGCTCCTGGCAACAGTGTGACTCCTGCTTCTGTCTGGTGACGAAAGGACTGATACTGATGTCCTGTTTTCTCTTGCCTTCCGGGGCTCATTTAACCTTTCAGATGTTCGTGCCGCACGAGACCAGATCAACATCGGAGGACTCGCGTACCCGCCGCTGCCGTTGCACGAAGCCCCCCCCAGACCTGCGTCGGGCTACAGTCAGGCTCCGTCCGTCTGTTCTTCTTCCACGTCCTTCAATGGGCCATTTGGAGCGGGGGTTGTGTCGCCACAGCCTCACAGCAGCTACTACAGCGGGATGACGGGGCCCCAGCACCCCTTCTACAACAGGGTGAGGAGTGCTCGGGGCTGGGCTGTTAAGACCTAGTTCTGGGGAGATAGCAGAAGTTTGTTGCTTATGGATTCTGTTATTATTTTGAAACTGTACCTTAGCTTTAAACTAGGGCAAAAGTTAAGTTTAATTGAATATATATATAATATTTTAAAAATCAAAAGAATTTTTAATTTTAATGAGTTCTAGATATCAGCTGAGTGTGAATATTACCCGTGCCTTTTATTTATTGTCTTTTAATTCAGTAGAGTTGTTTTGAATGAAAGAAGGGAGTGAGCACTGTGGAGTCCGCAGTGGTGAGCAGAGGTTCTGTCCGCTGTGTTTGGTGCCGTGACTCATGTTGGCATCGGAAGCAGTGATGAGCACAAGTCTCTGCAGTAAACCATATTTAATATATAGTATAGCTTTTAAGTGTGAGATAATAATGGGAAACAGTGCTTGTAGGACTCAGGCATTATTGCCAAATAATAGCTCCGTAGCCCATTCTAGAGTCTTCTTTCAAGCTGTCTCAGTCACGTGTAAGAGAAGTATGCTAATTTTCTACTTGGAAAGCTGAAAGCACAATTAATTATCCTGGTGTTCAGACCCTGTCCAGTTTCTTAGGCTCAGGCTACCCTCACCGTAATGAGTAACACCAGCGCCTCCTGTAGGCAGACAGAGCCTGAACCCCAGGATTAGGCTTTCTGGAGCTGCCTCCTCAGTCCGTCACCATTTCTGATGTGTGTTGTCTCCCTCTCGAGCCCAGTTTGAGAAAGCATAGCGGCTGGTCTTTGTGAAACCGGTGTGTGTCTACGTCAAGTTCACCTGAGCTAGAAGAGAGACACCTTGAGAGCACATGTGGCAAAGAGGAATTCCAGAATTCAAATTAAATTTCGGTTTTTGAAACTGTTGGCCATATAAGTTATCAGCCACACGAGGCCCCTGACTGTCGGTCCATGACTCTGACGAGGAGAGGGTGGGACGGGGTCCCTTGCCCGTGTCCCAGCCCCGCGGGCTGCGCGGCGGCCGCAGTGTGATGCGCAGGTTTCACGCACGTCCTAGAGCTGCTGGGATGGACTGGAAATGGTTCCATCGACCACGAGGTGACAGTTGGACTTTTGAGACCATGAGTTTGTTTTTTAAAAAATTTCCACACCATCTTGTCTGAGACCTTGTGTCCACTCATTTCACATGCATAACAATCGTCATGCTTTATTTAGTATTTTATTATTTTTAAAGCACTTAAAGTTTTCTTATGTTTTTATGTCTAGTTATTTTTTACTCTAGTTATTTGAGGGTTTTTAGTCTGAAAGTAAAAGAATAATTTTCCTCAAATGGCAGGAGTATGAAAGGTGTTACTCGAGTATAATAAAGTGTGGGGAGTTTTAATCTCTGCGTTGAGCCCGTATAATCTGATAGCGCCTGTTACCAAGAAGCTTGTTACACATGAATGCCGGAGTCATAAATCTCACCTAAACAGTGGGCTCCCCAGTGAAAATACGCCTGCTTCCTTGGAAGACAGCGTAAACTCTAGGAACTTAGGGTAACATGTTCCTGGAGTCCATGCTGGGGTGTTTTCACATGATTGAGGTGTTTTTGGTGTTACTTAAAGACTGATCGTTTTTTGTTTTTTTTTGTAAGCAGTAGTTTTCTATTAAGATTCCATTCTGCTTTTTTACAAAAAGAGATTGTGAGTTAATATTTATAAATTACTTAGAACCTGACACATGGTAATAAGCCATACAGTTGTTAATGTAAAGAGAAACGTGTCAAATTATAAGGTGCAAAATTTTGCTTACTTAAAAAAAGCTTTTATTAAGTCAATAATATAGAAATTTAAATACTATGTCAAGTTTGGGTTTGATATCTTGTAGAATACGGGAAAGGCTTTTTTCTTTTGTTTTGTCACTTGCATTAAAAATCTGGAGTTGTATTTTATTGGTTAGTTTCATTTGATAAATTTCATTACACTTTGATTTCTGTAATTGTTTATCCCATTCTTTTGTTACGTGTTTTTTCCATAGCCATTCTTTGCCCCATACCTTTACACGCCAAGGTATTACCCTGGCGGTGCCCAACATCTCATCTCACGTCCATCAGTAAAATCGAATTTGCCCAGAGATCAAAGCAATGGCCTAGTAAGTATAAAAAGGGGTAACTACAGTATGATCTACTAAGGAACCTCTAGTGCACTAGAGTTGGGTTGTTTCCTTTCTGTGGTAAAATAATGCAACTTATTGTATAAATAGTTTTAGGAAACATAAGCTATTACTAACATAAAATGTATTTTGTTTTTATTTCTGTTAAATATCTATGGAAAGAAATGACTGCAGCCTCAGTGGATAGATGTTGAGTTGTTTACAACCAGCGTTTCTGGTTTATGATGTAGTGTCTGCTACCAGACTTGTAACACTGAGCCTTCACACCTGCTAATTCCTGGCATCTTCCTAGAGGGCGGGCATATACGGCATCTGTGTCTACGTTAGCCCCATTGCATAAACATCGGATGATCTAGTGAAAGAACATTTTAAGCTAATGGCAGAAATTAAATAGGATAAGGAAACTATTCAAATGTACTATTAAATCTAATCCAGAAAAATATATGTTTTTGTGTAACTGTTAGGTGTTCCCAATGATACAGTTAGTTTAATACTTTAAAAGAGAAAGTCCCTGTTAATGTATTTATTGTATAAATTAGGAGGCAAAGAGCGAGGACTTAACCTCTGTGTACATGTGAAAGTGTCCCTGAGGGAAAGTCGTCTCCCCTCCGAGTTCCAGTGTGTCACGCTGTCATTTACATCGTGTTCATCCAGTACCCCAGTCCGGCTCACCCTCACCTTTCTCCACACTCGTGTTTTGTGTTGCTAGGAGGTCATCACGGAGGACGCTGCTGAGGGGCTCCCGTCTCCCACGGCCTCCCCGAGGGTAATGCGCGTGGGGTGGCCGCAGCGCACCGCTTGGGCCGCGGTTACTAACTGCCTCGGGGCGGGCGGCAGCTCGTTCGGAGTAGCTGGCTACTAATGCCTGTTCCTGCAGTGTTCAGAAGCTGCTGTGTGCCCTGTTCCCTGCCTTCCCCTTCAGGTGGGTGGGCGGGGCCTGGGGTCCAGCGAGGGAGGAGCCTTCCCGGCGGCTCGGGGCATTCCACGGCGGTGTCCGCTCCTTCGTGGTGAGCTCTGTCCTCACTCTGCCTTGCCTCCTGAGCTTCGTGTGCACTCCACGTGCAGAACATTTTTGAAAATAGTCCAAATCACCCTTGAGACCACAGAAAGACACTGTGAACTAGATGGTGTAGACCAGAGATGGCTCTTCAGTGACTCATTCCTATCTAGGTGGCCACGGCTTTGGACCCCTTAGTGTAAATGCAGTGCTACGTTCTTAATGGTGTATTTATTAGAATAGTTTCCGGGTAAACACAGAGCTACTTCACAAGTGAAGGGAATTATTTAACTCCCTTTTCCCCAAAACCTTAAAGTGACTTTTAAATGGACTTTTATAGGAAGTCGCTTTGTTTATTTATTATTCAAGACTTTATACTTAATAAGAAATACATTTAATGTGATGAGCCTCAACAGAATGCTGTGCCGTGTAAACATGGTCGCTGTCGTCTGAGGCTGTGCTGAGCGTCCACAGCGGTTGGACTGGATGCGGCTCCGCATCCCGAGTGTATCCATACTGCTTTAGCGTCAGCCGTGCATTTGGGTAGACAAGGGCCTTTTAACTTGAGGTTTGAGTTAATGTTAGTAGGAGGGAGAAAGAGAACCATTTTGGTATGTTCAGTAAGGGTTGATGGTTGTTTTAAAATCATTATCTTTTTAGCTGATGTGTTTGAGTGACTTCAGTTATCCATGAATGATGGACACAATAAACCATAATAATCCAGTTTGGGTGTTGGAAGAATCTTGACTCCATGGATCATTAGCACTGTACACGAGAATGACTTATAGTTCAGTCAGAGAGCCTTCAGTACATAGATTTGTGCACACAGTGCACTTCTCTGAGCTAAAACTCCTCAGCACAGTTTGATATCTCAGAAAATCAGATACTGGGAAGAATTTGGTGGCCTAGGGACACAGACATGCTGGGACAGCCGCTGTTCCCATGCCTGAGAATGTGAGCGAACACGTCGCTAGAAAGTGCCTGTGGTTTCTTTCGGCCCGCGAGGGAGTGTCAGGCAGGGTTTGCAATGAGGTTTGGGGGAAGGGGAAGTAACAGTTCCCAAGGTGTGTTTAGAAAGAAGCCCAATAACAGAGAGCAAAGAAGTTCTGAATATATTAGTGCCTTTGTTTAGTGAAATAACCCTATTACCCGCTGTTCTTTTAATATTAAAAGATAATTTTCTGATCTGCTTAGTGAATAATAGATACTTACCCAGCTTTGCTTTTAGGAGATTAACAGGGACAGTAGCCTGTAGAAGACCAGCAGACGCAGCCGCTCAGTCCGAAGCCCAATGAAAGCAGTGGTGGAAATGGGGGAGGCGTCAGTCTTCGGGGCACTGGGATCTTTGTCCTGAACCAACAGGGACTAGTTAATACGAAGCTCCTTTAGCCTCATGGCTCACACGGCTCCTAGTCCTGGATGGAAGACTCCTGTGGGGGTCAGAGCTGCCGGGAGTCGCTCTGCTCACTCTGCTGTCCCTCAGGGGACCACCCGACGACAGGACCTGTTACGGATAAGTCAGGAGCTACACAAATATTTTTGGACAAATTGTCATTACAGACACAGAATAATGAGTTTAAAAACAAACACCAAAAAAAGCCAGACCATAAAGAGTTAACCAGCTACATAGTCTTTTCAGTATAGGTGGTCCCATCTTTTTTTACCATGAGCCATTTCTAATAAACCTTTATAAAGTAGATCCTTATGAAAATAATTGCATTTTCTAACATTTAGGAACACTGTAATGATTGTATCTTGTGAAGGCCAGCCAAGGACTTATCAGATGAATTACAGATATGTCCAAATGTTTCACAAAGGTGGGGATGTAAAATATAAGCCTCTGTGCTAGCTTTTCCCCCTATAATTTTATAGTAGAGAAAATATATGCTAAATCGTATAAAACGGGCAAAAAATAATATTGGACTAAAGATATGCTCCCAGAATATTAGAGCTGGAAAGAACCAGTATTTCTCGAACTTTTCAAGCAGAGAAGTCTTTTTTAGAAATGAGATCGTAATTAGAACTCCAGTTTATAAAACCAGGAGTAAAAGAACTCTGGCCCCCACCTTGGACTTGCCTCTCTTCTCAAGGGTTCTCTGAGATCCAAGTGCCCATGGGCAAGCCCTGCTCCACGGGACAGATGGACACTCGAGACTCGGTCAGTGGGCTTGGCTGAGTTGTTCAGGAGGGGAGGGAGCGCCCGTGTGGCCGAGAGCACAGCCTGGCCCAGCCCCCACGGCCGTGCCTCCTTGGCTGCTGTCCACATGGACGGCTGAGTCCTGCATGTGGTCTTCAGGTTCAGTAGACCTGGCTGATTAGCTGTTTGCCTTGGACAAAGCACTTAACTTCTCTGATACGCGGCTTCCTCAGCTGGGAAAAGCAGCCTGCCGCCCAGCCCCATTTAAGGATTACTCAGCCCTATATGCTTCGAGTCCGTAATTATTATTATTATTATTATTACCACCCGAGGCTGAATTCTTTGCATGGGGCTTTAAAGACTCAGAAACTAAAACTATTCATGTTTAAAAACCTTGTCTTAGTGCAAATACTCCCATCGGTTTAGATGAACTCAGCCTTTTATCTGTTGGTGCCTCCCTGGCCGAAAAGGCGTCGGTCGGTTGGCTTTCTTGGACTCTGGAAGGGCCCTCGGTGGTTTGTGTGCTCCAAATACTGCGCACACCTGGAAGCTCCCCGGGGAATGTCCGCTGCTGCTGCTCAGTCCAGCTCCCGCTGTGCGTTCAGGTCCTGCCCGACGTGGGAAGGACCGGTCTGGGGCCTGCCTCCCGCCAGGTCTCCTCCGGGCGTGGCTCGGCATTGCAGCGGCTCCTGAGCACTGTCGGGGCTACTTCAGGGTCATGGAGAAGCACTTTCCACCGGAAGGAAGGACAGAGCAGTTCGTTGCTCTTTATCCTGCCTCGGTTTAGCTCAAGGACTACCAGTGCCCTTGTGATGGCTCGCGGGTTTGGCGGTGTGCCGAGTGCCCATGTCCCCTGGGCGGGTGGGGCAGCAGAGGAACCTGCCCCCGAGCCTGTGGGTGGGAGGCTGCCCGGGGCAGCTGCAGGACCACTAGCTCACTCCGTCCTCAGCCAGCTGCTAGGTCCCTTGCCCGCTTGTCGGAGAGGCTGGTGAAGACTCGGGAGCACAGAACGGGCTGTGGGGAGCCAGGGGCCGACGGGCACGTCCAGAGTCCGATGGACACGGCTGCATTGATAACGGGTAAAATGAGGGTCTTGGTTCATCAAACCACCCGGTCAGTCGAGCGACCACGTGAAAAGTAAAAAAAGATGGGACTCAACTGTAGACCATTTTTATTTCCACCACTGGTTTAGAACTTCTAACGTGCTTTCCAATGAATATGCGTCCCAATCAAGTGTCTCTCGTTGTCAGGAGCGGCCTTGGCCCAGACAGTCACCGCCGCCGTGGGTAAGGCGTGGGCGTGGGCGTGGCGTGGGCGTGGGCGGCGCTCGTTTAGGGGCCCAGCGCCCCCCGGGTGCTCAGAAATGCATCTGCAGTCTTTCCCTTCGGGAGGGGATTCGCTTCTTCCTTCTTTAATTATATAATGAAAATTATATTCACTTCCCATGGGAAAGTCCTTGTGCCAGACTGCAACTCGAAGACAGCCCTTCCCGAGCAGGTAGCACACCACAACTACCTTGACTGAGAGGATAGTTCAAAGTTATAAAAAGTGACACGATCCTGTTCACTGCAGTCGTTTAATACTTTTGTTTGATAAAACATTGCCCTGAAAATGTGGTGCGAAACCTCAGCTGTCTACTTTGACCTAATTATTTTTTCTCATGTATTTGAAGAGTAAGTTACATTTTCCAACTAGGTTAACAGTGGCTTTCCTTTGTGTTCTGGGTCTTTTGTGGTAAACTGTTTTCCTGAGCACTCCCATTCGGTATTTTTTCTAGTCTCCACAGCTACACATGGTAACTTTCTAAAAACACCTCCTAATGTGAGGTTGGTACTAAGCTAGAAAGCAAGGTTCCCAGGCAGAGTGGGGGAGTGAGGGCGGAGGAGCTGAGGGCTGCCCGTGGCCAGCGCTGGGCATCGCCGGGCACCCCAGTGCCCCGCTCTCGGCCACTCCGGCGAGGGTGCAGTCTTCACCACCGGCCTCACGGCACAGAAATCGTGACTGCAGTGTGTCTGCTTTGAAGGAGAGTTTTTAGGGCTCCCTCCCAGTAGCCAGGTCAACCACAGCGTGTGGGTGTGCGCCATTCCCGCCAGGAGCTCCCGCACTGTGGGCCGCGGCCTGCCCCTTACCTGGCTGTTCCCAGTGCCTAGACCCGTGCCTCGCGCCCCAGGAGACGGAGCCCACGTCTTAGGAGTATGTCTTTGCACGTTAACTATAGTGTAGCTAGAGAATATTTCATTTTATAACATGATCGTGTGGATTCCAAGTATTTAGACCTTATTGAACTGGTCTGCAATAAATCGTTACAATTTTTTTTATCAGAATATTTAACAATTAACTTCAAACTTTTAGGTAGTAGGATTATTGACTTTTCATAACAAATTTGATTTACCTGGTTTTCTTGTTGAACGTATGGCCAATGATTTATTCTTTTACTAGAATATACATTTTGAGAGTGCAATTTTAAAATTACCAAGTGTGTTAATGAAATAAACTACTGTGTGTGTGTGTGTGTGTGTGTGTGTTGCTGTAGAAGTGGTCTGTTCAGAGTTATGGGAAGATAAAAGAATAACAGGATGCTGCCTGTGTTTATGATTATGTATTTGTATTTGATGTACTTTACGCTTGTGTCCTTCACTCTGTTTTATTCCTTCCTTAAAGCCGTGTGACTCTGGGTTTAACAAACAGAGACAGGTACAGAAACTTTCAGTGAATCTTACTTCTCCTATTAGACCGTTAGAAGCAATCACTGGCGACTTCCTGCGGGCTGTGTGTGAGTCTGCTCACTCTTGCCTTGTTTGTTCCAACCGCGGCTCGCTGGCTCTGCATGGCCCTCACCCCTGCTAACCAGGTCTGCGCTTACGTCATTCACTCACCGAAGATGTTTCAGAGTATAGCTTTAATCCACTTACAATGTAAAGCATTTTGTTACATCAAGGTAATTTCAGTCTGTTTTGTCGGCTTTCCTTTTGCCTGGAGCAGTTTTGATTTGTGTGCATTTTGACATTTATAGTTAACAGTTTAAACACACTAACATCTTTTGCATTCAATTTTTCACGTTAGAAAGTTTTTAAAAAATAAATTGTGATGTGTGCTGAAATGATCTGTTCCTGACTTGTAACAGGTAATTTTCAAGTAAGAATACATGATAAACTTTAAATAAAGTGTTTCTGTGTCATAGTAATAGGATTCGTTTTCTGGTATTTACCTGTTGAATCACTGCATATGCTTTTCCTGATCACTTTTGTACTGTTTCTTCTTACTTTCTTGAGGTTCATTTGGTACCAAAGTAATTTTATTTTATATGATTATTTTAGAAAAGACTGGCAGGTAATGACCATTTCTTCTTTATTCACAGAAGCATATTGTAACTTCCTAATTTATTGATAATTTACCCTTTATCTTGATAAAACTCAACTTACAGATAATTGAGTCAGACTACAGCTTTGAAAGAGTTATAGGGGTCGTATGTGCATGTGTCTGTCTTTTCTTCTAAAGCTTCTAGAAGGCATTCAGAGATCATGTATGTGGTTACACATCCCCAGTGAGGGAGAAAATATGTTTAAAATAATAGACAAAATGTGAGTTTTAGAGGAAATCATGAAAGTTAAATTATGTGGAGTTTTTTGTTTTAAAGAAAAAGTCTCTGCTGCTGAGCCCTCGTGTTCTCCGTGGAAAGGAGGTGCCGGCATGTTTCACCTCCCCGAGCTGACGGAGCCCATCTGTTTCGTGGCTGCTCTACTTGTCCATCTTAGCACATCAGAATGGAGTTCTTTTGAGATTAAAAACCACTTTTTACTTAAAATAATTTTAGATGTAAACAAAAGGTACAAAAATAGTATTTCCTTAATGTTAACATCGTTCATAACTAGAGTATATTTTTCAAGAGCAGAAATTAAAATTGGTACAATACTGTAACTAAACTATAGATTCTACTTGAATTTTACCAGTTTTTCACTCATGTCCCTTTTTGTGGTCCAGGACCCAGGTCAGTTGTGTTTGTTATTTCTCCTTAGAGTTCTCCTGTCTGGGACACAACCTCAGTCTCTCATGACTTTAATGAGCACTTTGAAGGTTGCGGGTCCGGCGTTCTGGGGCCACTCCTGTGAGGGGCCAGCTGCCGCCGCCTCCTGATTAGAAGCAGTCACACGTCTTTGGCGAGACAACCGCAGGAGTGAGCGGTTCCCTTCCGAGTGCCTCCTGTGGAGGGTCGGTGACGGGCATGGCTCCTCCCCCAGTGATGCTGAGCCTGCTCACTTGGCCACGGTGGTGTCTGCCAGGTGCCAACACTGGAAGGCTCTTCTCTCCCTCGTGATGAGGAAATGCCGTGGGGGAGGCACGTGAGCTCTGCAGACGCCTCTGTGCTCACACTTCTGCTCACGGGTCAGTGACAGTGACGCATCTGTGTGCACCGCTGGGACCGTGCCCTCCTCTGCCTCTCTGGGCTCTCCGTGGGAAAGCTGTCCTCCCTCCATTCCCTCGTTCGAGCAGTTACTTATGTCGCTGTGGACTCGTGCATATTTATTTTATTCGAGTTATAATCCAGTACAATCATTATTTATTTTGATGATAAAACTGTGATTTTTGAACCAAGAATATGTAAACAAGTATAAATATATCCAGAGAGAAGAGAAAGATTGAGGAATGGAAGGGTTTGAAAGACAGTATTAGTGACCATGTAAAAGACATACTGTTCAGCACTAAAACAGAATGAAGCACTGGTGCGTGCCCTGACGTGGGTAACCTGCAACACCGCTGAGAGAGAGAGGCCACTACAGACGGCCAGGGCTCTGCAGCCTGTGAACGGCCCAGACAGGCCGCCGGGACACTGCGGAGATGGGGCGTGGCCGGGGGCCGGCATGGTGTTGGAAGAGATGGGAGTGACTGCTGATGGGACAGGGATTTCTTCTTAGGGATGTGAAAATGTTCTAGAATTGATGGTGGTGATGGTTTCACAACTATGTAAATATGCTAAAAATTAAGAGAGAAAAGATAAAAACAACTGTGGTAATTAAAAACTTATAGAAGGAGGTAACATCAGCATCATGGCAAAGTGAGAAGACCCCTGTGTTTCTCCTCTTACAGTTACGATGAGTTAGTTGGACAGTGTGATCCAACAGAGGATCTTCTGCTCGACAGCAAACACGCCTGGGAGAACCGCCTTCAGTGCGTCTGAAGGTGACATGCCAGTCAAGCAGTGGGGAAGAGACGCGCTTGCAGACGTCGTCCTGTGCCTGTGGTGGGGGATGGGGCAGAAGCAGCAGTCCTGCCTGAATAGCCGGTTTCCACTGTGGCTGAGTCCATGACGGGTCGAGACACCACGCAGCAGCATGGGAGCTGTGGACGAGTAGTAGCTAGGAGGCAAAGCCGAAGACCCACGCACTGCCTCCCCTTGTCTCCCTCTTGCCCACCTCTCATGGTGGAACCCAGCAGAGACAGAACCTGGGGGAGGCAGCGGAGGCACCTTGGCTTAGCACAGCCCCTGGTTACCAGGAGGCAGCACAGCCTGCCACATCCCACTGGGGGGGTGCCCTGCGACTGAGCAACCTGGACATGGGACACCCACCACCTAGGGGTATGGGACATTTTCTACAACCCAGATCACGTGTCCAGTGAGATCCAGCGGCGCCAGCAGTGCAGGTGAGGGAGAACAGCCTTGTGCTGTGGCTCCATCCACTGGGAAGTAGAAGACAGACTTCTACTTATCAACCTTGTCAAAGCAAAACCTCAAAAAGGAGAGTTTACTGCCTGAAAAGCCCAAGCAGAGAAACAATCCATCAAATACCATGAATAACCAAGCTAACAAAGTAGCTCAGGAAGAAAATGAAAAGCATCCAGAACCAAACCCAATGACATTTAAGACTGATTTAAATGACAGAGAATTTGTGATTGCCGTTATGAAATACAAGAAAACCCAGAGAGGCAGTTTAGTGAGCTCAGGAAGGAACAAAAAGAATACTTCACAAAGGAGATTAAAACTATAAAAAAGAATCAAAGAAATTCTGGAGCTGAAGAACTCAATAAATGTGATTAAGAATGCTTTCAAGCCCAGTCGATGTGGCTCAGTGGTTGAGCATTGATTCATGCACCAAGAGTCCGCCAATCTGATTTCTGGTCAGGGCACCTGCCTGGTTTGCAGGCTCGTTCCTCAGCAGGGGGTTGTGTAGGAGGCAGCTGATCAATGTTGATGTTTCTCTCTCGTCTCTTCTCCCTAAAGTCAATTTAAAAAATATATTTTTAAAAAAGAATGCATTAGCCTGGCTGGTGCTGCTCAGTGGATTGAGCATTGTCCCATGGACTAAGAGGTCCCAGTTTGATTCCCAGTCAAGCTTGATCCCCAGTAGGAGGCATGCAGGAGGCAGACAATTGATGTTTCTCTCTCACGTTAATGTTTCTATCTCCATTTCCCTGCCTCTCTCTCTAAAAACTCAATAAAAACATGAAAGAAAGAAAGAAAGAAAGAAAGAAAGAAAGAAAGAAAGAAAGAAAGGAAAGAAAGAAAAGAATGCATTAGAGAGCATTGGAAATAGAGTAGACCAGATGGAAGAGGGAATTAGCAAGCTGGAAGACAGAAATCTAGAAATAGCTCAGGTAAAAGAAGATAGAGAACTGAGAGTTAAGAAGGTGAAAGAACTCTGCAAGAACTGTCTGATAGTGGACACACCAGAAGGAGAAGAGGGCAAGAAGGGAACAGAGAGCCTAGTCAAAGAAATAACTGATGAGGACTTTTCACCCATGGAAGGAGCTGGACCCTCAAATTCAAGAAGCTAATGGAACATCTAATTATCTCAGTACAAGAAAACCTTGTCCATGACACATTATATTAAAACTCAAAAGTTAAGGACAAAGAAAGAATTCTCAAGGCAGCCGGGTGGGGGTGGGGGGAAGACTACCCTACAAAGGAAACCCCATTAAATTATCATCAGATTTTTCAGCAGAAATCTTACAAGCCAGGAGAGAATGGAATGAAAGGTTTATAATATTGAAAGAGAAACCACTAGCCAGGAGTAATACATTATCATACATCATGATCAAATGGGGTTCATTGATTTGTAAATCAATCAGTGTGATACAAAACGAAAGCTAAAAATTATATGATCAGATCAATAGACACAGAAAAAGCATTTGACAAGGTACAGCATCCATATATGATTAAAATAGTCAATAAAGTGGCTTAGAAGGAAAGTATCTGAACATGACAAAGACCGTATATGACAGACCCTCAGCTAATAGCATCCTCAGTGGTGAAACACGGAAAGCTCGTCGTCTAATATCAGAACAAGGAAGGAGGCTCACTCTTGCCACTGTTATTCAGCACAGTACTGGGAGTCCTAGCCAGAGCAGTTAGGCAAGAGAAAGAAATAAAGGCTTGTGCTTTGGGAATGAAGAAATAAGACTGTCACTATTTACAGATACACGATGCTGTATGTAGAAAACCCTGAAGACTCCACCAAAAGACTATTAGAAATGATAAACAAGTACAGTAAAGTTGAAGGATACAAAATCAATACACAAAAATCTGTTTCCATATACTAACAAATCTCGGAAAGAGAAATGAAGAAAATCCCATTTACAGTTGAAACAACAAGGATAAAATACATAGGAATAAACCTAAAGGAAGTGAAGGACCGTTATACTGCCAGACATTGTTGAAAGAAATTGAAGAAGACACAAAGAAATAGAGATATCCTATGTTCATGGATTGGAAGAATCAACATCATTAAAATGCCTGTATTACTTTAAAGCAATGTACAGATGTAATGCAATGTTCATCAAAATCCCAATGACATTTTTCACAGAGATAGAGCAAAAAAAATCCTCAAATTTGTATGAAACCACAAAAGACCTCGGATAGCCAAAGAAGTCCTGAGAAAAAAGGACAAACCTTGACTTCAAATGATTCTACAAAGCTATAGTAATCAAAATAATATGATATCAGCAGAAAAACAGACATAAAGACAAATGGAACAGAATTGCCAGCCCAGAAATAAACCTACACATATATGGGCACATAATTTTCAACAATGAAGCAAGAAACATACAACAGAGAAAGGAAAGTCTCTTCAATAAGTGGTATTAGGAAAACGGACAGCCACATGCAAAAGAATGAAACTAGACTGGTATCTGACACCATACACAGAAATTGACACAAGATAGATTAAATACTTAAATATAAGACCTGAAACAATAAAATACACAGAGGAAAACATAGGCACTAAACTTATGGACCTTGGTCTGAGAGAGGTTTTTGTGAACTTGGCCCAAAAGGCAAGGGAAGTAAAAGAAAATAAATGAATGGGACTATGTCAAATTTAAAAAGCTTCTACACAGCAAAAGAAACCATCAACAAAATAAAAAGGCAACCAACCAATGGGAGAAGATATTTGCAAATGATAACTATTATAAGGGGCTAATATCCAAACTGTATAAAGAACTCAAGAACAACAAACCAATCCAACTAAAAGATTGGGCAAAGGACCTAAATAGATACTTTTCCAAGAGAGACATACAGATAGCCAACAGATATATGAAACGATGCTCAACATCACTAGTTATAAGGGAAACGCAAATTAAAACCACAGTGAGATACCACCTCACACTTAGAATGGCTATTGTCAATACGACAAGAAATAAGTGTTCGAGAGCATGTGGAGCCAAGGGGACCCCACACTGCTGATGGGAGTGTAAATTGATGCAGCATCCCTATGTTTATTACAGCATTATTCACAGCCCAGACATGTCCTTCGATGGATGATTGGATAAAGAAAAAGTGGTACATATAAATAATAGAACACTACTCAGCCATAAGAGAAGATGAACTACTGCCATTTGTGACAACATGGATGGATCTTGAGAGTAGTGTGCTAAGTGAAATAAGTCAGGTGGAAAAGGACAAGAACCTTATGATTTCACTCACATGAGGTATATTTTTAAAAGCAAGGAAGAAGCAAACAAAAAAGAAGGAGCTACAACAGAATGGTGGTTACCAGAGGGAAGGGTGGAGGATCAAGAAGGTAAAGGGGGATAATAGGCTTCGGGGGATGAGCACCCAGTGGAGTATACAGATGTCTTATTGTCAAGTCACACACCTGGAATTTATATAATGTTATTAACCAGTGTTACCCCAATACATTTTAAAATGTACGGAAAACATTTGAAATTCCCATAGCTGATAGTGGATAATTAACACTGAATACTGGCTCCATGCATCCAGGCAGAAAACGGAACTGGGGACAGGAGCACTAAATTACTGAAGCACCAGGGTTTTGCTGTTAGTGTTTTTGAAGCAGTTGGACTGGACTGTATAATAGGTAGCATATTTTAAATGTAAACTTAATTTACAACAAGCTGCGAATACATGCGTTAGGTACAGTGTATTTCAAGTCATTGATATCCAGACTTTTGTGGACCTGTCTCATACTTGTCAACACGCTGCAACTCCGACTGTCATAAAATTACTACCCCAACTGTCTATTCAATATGTCTCATCCCCTAACTTTTTCTCATCCCCTAATATTTATTTTTATATATAATATAGAGATGTGCCTTGTATATGCTATGTGTGCAGATTTCTTTATCAGTTCATAATACAAGAATATTTTATGCTTTTGTGTTACAAATGATGCTTAACAACTGGCTGAACAGTGTTTAATGACAGGTCCTTTTGGCTGTGTTATAGTCTATTTTTGTCCTAATAGTGAAAAAAGAGGCAGTAGAAAATAGAAATGAACATATCCTTGAGGATAGGATACTTTTTATCATTTTAAAATTAGGTGGAAAAGCCTGGCCAGTGTGGCTCAGTGGTTGAGCGTCGACCCTGCACCAAGAGGTCACCAGTTCGATTCCCAGTCAGGACACATGCCCAGATTGTGGGCTCGATCCCCAGTGAGAGGCATACAGGAGGCGGCCAGTCAATATTCTCTCTCATCGATGTTTCTGTCTCTCTTTCCCTCACCCTTCCTCTTTCTCTAAAATCAATAAAGAAAAAAAAGGATTAGGTGGAGTGGTAAATAGGATAGATCATTTGGAAAATTATCCTCTGGTTGATTTTTCTTCTCTTTATTGTGGTTATTGTTTCTATAAACTCTTCAAAAATAGAGCAAAGAAAATAGTAGTTGTAAGACCTGGTATGTTAGGTTCTGATCCAAATCTACCATACTAGCTATTTATTCTGTGACTTTGAAGTCAAAACCTAACCCTTCTAGACCTCATTGTCCATATCTGTAACTAAAGAGACTCTTACATAATTGGCCACAAATACTTCTTCAGCATGTCACCATATTCAGAAATGTTTTCTTCTAATACTAGAATTATTTATTATTTTGAACAAGACCAAATTTTTCTTTTAAACAAGACCAAATTTTAATGGATTGTATTTACTTTGACACATGTTAAGAAGAAATCCAGTTGTTTTATATTCACACGTTACTGTACAGATTCTGAAGGGGGGTTTAGATCCCGTGGATATAAAATATGACCAAGATCTGAAAACTGCAGCTACCGGAGACTATTAAGTTAGTCTGTAGAGACATTTAAAGCCATTTAGGTACTTTTACTTAATGGATTTACCTAACATATCTTTAGGCATCAGTAATTTCTCCCCTTTTGTACCTTTTAAATAAATAAATAAATAAATAAATAAATAAATAAATACATAAATGCCCTTCTGCCCGGCCGGTGTGGCTCAGTGGTTGAGCGTCATCCCGGGCACCAAAAGGTTGCTGGTTCAATTCCCGGTCAGGGCATATGCTTTGGTTGCAGGCTTGATCCCCAGGAGGGGGCGTGCAGGAGGCAGCTGATGGTGATGTTTCTCTCTCACCCATGTTTCTATTTCTATCTCCCTCTCTCTCTAAAAAGCAGTGAAAACATATTTTAAAACTATTTTTTTTAAAGTCCTTCTGTTATTAAGGCCACACCCTTCTCTCTGGAGGTTAGGCTGTGAACATTTAAGAAGTTAGCCTAGGCTTGGTTCATGGAATGTTCTGTCTTCTTAAGTGTTTTGAATTAGGCTATATCTGCTATAATAAAAGCTACTCATTAAGCTGTAACAGTAGCTAAATCTGTTCCCTGGTAACATTTCTCCATGCTGCACACACTCTTAGTCCTGTAGTTGAAAAAACTTGATTGTTGACCAGAGAGCTTCATAGTGTAACTCATGAGTATTTCAGTCATGCGACTGCATCTCCCTGCACGACGTGCTGTTCGTACATATGTTTTTCCACGGCTGTTTCAGGGGTCCGGCCCAGCCTCAGGCACAGTGCCACTGCACACAATGAATGTGGATGCCGTGTGCGAGAAGCTGAAGCAGATCGAAGGGCTGGAGCCCAGCATGCTGCCGCAGTACTGCGCCACCATCAAGAAGGTGAGGCTCCCTGCACCTGCCGGCTGGGGGGCGGGGCGGGGGGGGCGGGGCGGGGCTTCTCTGTGAACCGCAAAGCTCTGAATGGAAACACGCCTCTTACTGTTTTGTATCCTTAGTTGCCCTGTTATCTTAGTTTATAAATGGTTAAAGGAATAGACTTGTATGCATATATGCACAACCAAGGGACGCAGACGCAGACGCAGGAACTGGGTGGGAATGGAGAGGAGGGGGTCAAAGGAGAATAAAGGGCAACATCTGTTAATACTTTCAACAATAATTTTTAAAAAGGAATAAAGTAGCTGTGTTACAATGTTACTTTAAAAACGACCTGATACAAGTAAGAAAGGCCTTGGTGAGGATACAGAGCCCACGGGTTTCACCGTTGGGTAAAGGAGGACTGTTTCTAACATGCACCGTGGAGCACGTGAGGGAGGCCTTGGTGTTGTTTTCTCTCATTGTAATATGTATTTATGACTTAACAGTTATCAAAGCAGCCACACTCCATTCCCCCAAATTCTCATCTTCGTCTCATGCAGGACTTTTGATCGTGTCCTGTCTGACGGAACCCCATAGGTTGGGGTTTACAAGGCTAACACATTTGAAAAAGTCTGCTTTTTCCTAGTAGCTCTTACTGCTATCCTAGTAGCTACCGCGAAGTTGGACGGTGATACCGGGGTTTCAGGGAAGGTTTCCCGGACACAGGCCGACTGAGTGCCCGTCAGAGTAGTTGTTCCCACTAGTTCTCCGTTGTCCTTAGAGACAGCGGCAAGTCTCTGCCGGTCACCTGCTTCGAGGCACGCAGAACCGGGAGCTCGGCGGGCCCCGCTGTGTTCCTCTCGGCCTCGTCGTCGGGAAGGCTCAGGGCACGGCCGTCTCCCGCAGTCGGTCAGGGCAACGCGTGTGCAAAGGTGGCGCCGCTGCCCTGGACTGATTGTCCTCTCGCAGCGTGGTCTCCAGCGGGGACCCTGTGCTGCCCGTGTCTCCGTCAGGATGGGGTCTTTTCGCGCGCAGCGCTTTGCCCCGGCCCTCGCTCTCTGAGCCCATCGTGGCTGCTGGTCGTCGCTGCCACGGCCTTGCTGACCCCTCCGCCGCGGGGCTTGGTCACGCGCTGTGTACGGCTTCCCTTCGCAGTGAACCTGGGGGCTGCGCGCGGTCGTCGATCGCACACTCCACCTTTACCACAGTCCTCGGTCACGTTTTGTATTTTGAAAATCAGTAAGCTCCCCATTATTAAGGAAAATATAATAGTTTCTTATTTGGGAAAACTAGAGTTATAGAGACTAACAATGATGCGATCATATTTTGTGAATTTAACTGACTGGGAAACAGTGGGTGGACATGGTTTATGTCTGAAGTCATCTGCTGTTGCTCATAAACAGGTTCCAAAGCCCCACTTCACGTAGAACTTGATCAGGGACCGACCCACCGATGGACACCTTTGTCCCCTCCCAGCACCTTGGTCCATGTTCATATTTTACAAGATTGGAGGAGAAAAACTAGCGACTTTGTTACTGCTCCCGGCAGGGGAGGTAGCCTTGGAAACAGTTGGGAGGAGTGGCCCTTGGGCTGGTCCCTGAAGAGGGACAGTTTTACCTGAGTGCTTGAGACACTTGGAGACGAGGGGGCTTACGTGGGCACATTCAGCATGTTGGTCACGTTATTAAAGGAGAGGTCAGCTTTGTCAGGTCAATATTTTCTAGTCTCTAATGACGTTCTTACTGCTACATATGCGAACGTGCTTTTCATTCACGAGTAGCTCAGACTGCGTCACGGCCTTCTCCCTGTCTCACCCAGGCCAACATCAACGGCCGTGTGCTGGCTCAGTGCAACATCGAGGAGCTCAAGAAGGAAATGAACATGAATTTTGGAGATTGGCATCTTTTTAGAAGCACAGTAAGATATTTTATATTTGCAACATTGTGTAAAACAAGTGCAAGTAAGCATTGGCCTAAATGGATGTAGTTCTGTATGTTTTAAAAAACATGTAAAAATGCATTTTACACGTCCGCCCAGCCCTGTGTATTGCATCAGGCCCCGTGCACACGGCAGCCCGTGACGACCTTGGCCCTCTGGGCATTTCCCCTGGAAAACTGGGGACGGCCGCTCTGCTTATTCTCCCCACTTTCACTGATAAAGACGCTCCTGGACCTGCCTCCGGTCTGGCTCCCCGGAGCCTCCAGGCCTCGGCCTTGGAGCTTGTCCCCGTCAGGCTGCGTGGCCCACTCACGGCAAGAACCCCGTGGAGTCGCCTTAGGAAGAGCCCGGCTCAGGGGCTGATCACCCTCGGTATTGGATCAGATCCTCCTCCGCCATCCCCAGGTGAACTCTGGTCCCCCTGGCCTGCCTCCAGCAAGAAGCCTGTGCAGTGGACTCAGCCAGAACCCCTGGCCCTTGCTGACCCCCAGCTCCTGTGTGGGTGGCCCTTGTCCATGCCTGGAACTGGCCCGGCCCCGCCCCGGGCCTCTGTCCTCGCAGTGTCCTGACTGCAGTCTGCATTCCTGTTGGCTCCTGCCGGCTTGGGCCTTCCACACTGCAGTTGCATTTTGTTTTGTTCTTACGTCAAATTTTAAACTAAAATAATAGTGTAATGGTCATATACATGTAATTATTGCCATTACTTCTTTTAGTATTAAAATCAAAGACGAGCTGATACAGTACAAACTCACTAGAAATCACTAACAGGAAGTGTGCTTTCTCATTTCCGTAATAACTGGATGATGTTCTATTGTTAAAATGATTTCTAACGCTGCTAAATGTGACTTGTCGGTGCGACTATAAACCCATCTTTCCCTCTGTGAAGGTCCTAGAGATGAGAAACGCGGAGAGCCAGGTGGTCCCCGAAGACCCCCGTTTGCTCGGCGAGGCCAGCAGCGGCCCCGTGCCCCAGGGTGAGCCCGCCTGCCGGCCTCCGCACCACGAGCTGCCCCACACCGAGCTGCCCGGCCAGGCGCCCTTCACGCTCAACTTCAGCTTCGAGGAGCTGAACTCGCTCGGCCTGGACGAGGGCGCCCCGCGGCACGGTCACCTCGGCTGGCAGGTAGGCTGTGTTCGAGCGACTCGGGGCCAGCTCGTCGAGGTTGTGTGGGGCATCGATGCCGTCATTCAGACACTCCTGAGAGAGCCTGCGTGACCGACGGAGACTCCCTGTTCTCGGGCTCCGTGAAGAAAAGCAGAATTCCTTTATTTATTTTATTGTTTTAAATCCTCACCCGAGGGTATTTTTCCATTTATCTTCAGATCGAGTGGGAGGGGGAAGGAGAGAGAGAAACACTGATATGAGAGAGGGTCATCGACTGACTGCCTCCTGCACCACCCCGCCCAGGGCTGGGGACTGAGCCCGCAACCGAGGTACATGCCCATGACTGGAATCGAACCCACGACTCTTTGGTCCGCGGTCGGACACTCCAACTGCTGAGTCACACTGACCAGGACTAGATTCCTCTAGAAACTGATAAGATGTGTGAAACAATGAGATAAGGTGACAGCACAGAGTCAGCAGAGACTGGATGGCTGTAATTCGGGTACTTAACAGTCTGACCGCTGTCTCCCTGTTGAATGGATTATTCATCGGTTGAAATATGTCTTTCCTAGAAAGCTTGCCGCATATCATCCCTCTGAGCATCCTAATTTGGTGTTTCAGCACATCTGTCCTCTGCTTATGGATGTTCACTGTCCTTTTATTATCTGGTGTGATAGGTGCACGAGTTCTTTCTTGGGATGTTCTTAGAAGAGGGAGGACAGGTGGGGGTCAGGAATAAAAAGAACAATGTGAGCCCACGAGAAAGCGTAAGGGGAGAATAAGGGAAATGAGCCAGGAAACAGCAGGGACGGAAGGAGAGAAGGCAGGGAGGGAGGCCAGTGAGCAGCGACCCAGACACTCGCGGGAAGGGTGTGGGAGGAGCAGGACCTGGCGGGTCTGCCCTTGAGGGTCGGTCTGTTTAGTTTGGTAGTGAAAATATTTGTCCATTGCTGCTATCTTTTCCTACATATTCTCACCTTATTTAAGGTGGAAAACCACGATATGGTTGGGCGTTGACAAGATAAAACAGTTCCCTTATTTGACAGTGTGACAGCCCACGCTTGCCCTTTGTCTCCGTCTCAACAACCACAGTTCCTTCTCCGTGGCTCGTTCTCTGCTTTCCCGGCTCCGCGGTTCCTGCCGGGACCTTCCCCTCAACAACCACAGTTCCTTCTCCGTGGTCCGTTCTCTGCTTTCCCGGGCTCCGCGGTTCCTGCCGGGACCTTCCCATCAACAACCACAGTTCCTTCTCCGTGGCTCGTTCTCTGCTTTCCCGGCTCCGCGGTTCCTGCCGGGACCTTCCCCTCAACAACCACAGTCCGGGACCTTCCCTCAACAACCACAGTTCCTTTCTCCGTGGCTCGTTCTCTGCTTTCCCGGCTCCGCGGTTCCTGCCGGGACCTTCCCCTCAACAACCACAGTTCCTTTCTCCGTGGCTCGTTCTCTGCTTTCCCGGCTCCGCGGTTCCTGCCGGGACCTTCCCCTCAACAACCGCAGTTCCTTCTCCGTGCTCCGTTCTCTGCTTTCCCGGCTCCGCGGTTCCTGCCGGGACCTTCCCATCAACAACCGCAGTTCCTTCTCCGTGCTCCGTTCTCTGCTTTCCCGGCTCCGCGGTTCCTGCCGGGACCTTCCCCTCAACAACCACAGTTCCTTCTCCGTGCTCCGTTCTCTGCTTTCCCGGCTCCGCGGTTCCTGCCGGGACCTTCCCATCAACAACCGCAGTTCCTTCTCCGTGCTCCGTTCTCTGCTTTCCCGGCTCCGCGGTTCCTGCCGGGACCTTCCCATCAACGCAGCAGCTCTCTGCCTTCGTTCTACAGAATCTCAGAGCCTCTTACACTTGAACATCATCGAAGACCCTACAGGGAGGGCTCTTCCTCACATAAATTTATCTGTCGGTATTTACTATGTTAGAAAGGACCATGGAGAAACTTGAAAAATATTTATTTATTTAAAAATAAACCTATTATAATGTTAACATTTGTATGAAAAATGACAATATTTTCCAAAACAAAGCTCAATGTAGAGAAAATGACTGTTTCACAAGTGTCTTCAGTGCCCAGCTGAACGGAGGACAGCTCGGCCGCACATCTGCTCTGCCCTGGGCGCGGGGCGACACGGGGCGGGGGGCACCGCGGGGCGGGAGGGGGCGGAGGGGCACCGCGGGGTGACACGGGGTGGGGGGTGGGGGCGCTGCGGGGCGGGAGGGGCACGCTGTGCGAGACAGTCTGCCTGCGGGTCCCGGAGGGCGGGCACAGCCCAGGGTCCTCTCTGCCTCCTTTGTTCCAGCCTTTGCTCTCGCCCCTCAGCTTCCTGATTCCTTCCTTTCGTCCCCTCCTCTTTGCCTGTTCTGGACTGTTCGCTCCTCATTACGAGCTTTTCTGGGATCAAAAGCCATTCTAATCCTAAAGCTTGACCTTGGGGCGCCGGCCAGCGTGGCCGTTGGTTGGCCGTGGACGGGAGGTCGTGGGCTTGGGTCCCGGCAGGGCTCCTGCGGGGCTGCGGGCCTCCCTGTCTGCCGTTTGCGTGGCTCCTGTGTGGGTCTCTTCCGTGGCACGCCATGCTCTGTTCGTTTAATTTTAATGTTTTTTTTTTGGCATTTTGAGTACATTTTCTTACTCTGAATTGAAATTTGACAGAAATGTTGTCTTACAGATTGAGAGAGGTTCTTTTTTTAAGAAATTGATTTTTAGAGAGAGGAATGGAGAGAAAGAGAGAGAAACATTGATGTGCACAAGAGAGAAACATCGCTCAGTTGCATCTCTCACACACCCCAACCGGGGACTGAACCCAAACCCAGGCATGTGCCCCGACAGGGACCCAGACCCACCACCTGCTGGTGTACCAACTGAGCCACACCGGCCAGGGCAAAAGAGAGGTTCTTTTTAATATACATTGAAGAGCCCTGGCCAGTGTGGCTCAGCGGTTAGAGCGTCAGCCTGCAGTCCAGAGAGACCCGTGTTCGGTTCCCGCTAAGGGCATGTACCTCGGTTGCAGTTTGTCCCCGGCCCTGGCTGGGTCATGCGGGTGGCAACCACTCGATGTGTCCCTTTCACATCGATGTTTCTCTCTCTCCTCTCTCTCACTCTCTCCCTCCCCACTCTATTTGAACAAAAAAATATATATATATATACATTGAAGATATAAGTGTTTCGTTTTTCAGATATACCTAATCTTTTCTCTTTTCTAAGGGGAATTTTTACATTTTATCAATGAAGTTGACTTTTTTGTTAAATAAAATTTAAAAGGTTGAAATTATAAAAACAAGTACTAATATTATTTGTTAATGTAACCTTTAGTTATACTTTTAAATATTAAACTAATTTTATTAAAATTTGTACAAAGCTTCCTATTAGCAGGAAATTTGTCCATAGTTCACAGCTTTGGTTAAACTGCATCACGCAGAATTCTTTTAAAAGAATTTGGTGTGTCGAGGACTTTAAAGATTCTTGGTGCACACATATTCTTCCTAAGCTGGTGTTTTCTCTGCCTTTCCTTTCTGTGTACTTGGACTCTTAGTTGTCTGTCCTCTGTCTTACAGTCCCAGGCACGCAGAACGCCAAGCCTCTCGAGCCTCAACTCCCAGGACTCCAACATCGAGATCTCGAAGCTGACTGACAAGGTGCAGGCTGAGTACCGAGACGCCTACCGCGAGTACATTGCTCAGATGTCGCAGTTGGAGGGGGGCCCGGGCTCCACGGCTGTCAGTGGCAGGTCCTCCCCACACAGCGCATGCTACCTGGGTCAGAGCACCTCGGGGGGCTCCATTCACTCGAGTCTGGAGCCGGAAAAAGCGAAGGACAGCGAGCTGAAGCCAGACGATGGGAGGAAGCCCTTCGTGATGAAGAGGGCAGATGTCATCGACTACTCGTCATCCGGGGTCTCCACCAGCGACGCCTCGCCCCTGGACCCCATCACGGAGGAAGATGAGAAGTCCGATCCGTCGGCCAGTAGGCTCCTCCCGGGCAAGAAGCCCTCGGAGCGGTCAGGTCTCTTCCAGGCCGACCTGAAGCTCAAGGGAGGGGGCCTGCGCTACCAGAAGCTCCCCAGCGACGAGGATGAGTCTGGGGCAGAGGAGTCGGACAACACGCCCCTGCTCAGAGACGGCAGAGATAAGAAGGCCGAGGGGCGAGCGGAGAGGGCCTGCAGGTCCCCAGAGCACAGCGCCGAGCCCATCCGAACCTTCATCAAAGCGAAAGAGTACCTGTCAGACGCCCTGCTGGACAAGAAGGACTCCTCCGATTCCGGGGTGCGGTCCAGCGAGAGCTCCCCCAACCACTCCCTTCACAGCGAGGCCGCGCACGACTCCCAGCTGGAAAAGGCCAACCTCATCGAGCTGGAGGACGGCCACGGCGCGGAGCGGGGGCTGCCGCACGGCCTGAGCGGCCTGCAGGACCCGGGGACAGCCCGGATGTCCATCTGCTCCGAGGACAGGAAGAGCCCCTCCGAGTGCAGCCTGATCGCCAGCAGCCCCGAGGAGAGCTGGCCGGCCTGCCAGCGAGCCTACAACCTCAACCGCACCCCCAGCACCGTGACCCTGAACAACAACAGCGCCCCGGCCAGCAGGGCCAACCAGAACTTCGAGGAAAGGGAGGCGCTGCGCGGCACGACCCCGGCCCTGCGGCCGGCCTCCAGCGCCAGCTCCACGGCCGTTCAGAACGAGAACCTGAAGGGCCTGGCGCACAAGCGAGGCCAGCGGCCGAGCTACACGCGGCTCTGCACGGAGGCCCCAGAGCTCCTGGCCGCGGCCTCCCCTGAGAGCACGGGCTTTGGGGAGGAGAGGGAAAGCATCCTTTAGGGAGACACGCAGGATGGCGCGCACAGCGCTGACCTTCTTCTGGGGAGCCTCCCCCGCACCTCGTCTTTCCACAGCCCGCTCAGCCGAGTGATGGGTGGGAGGAGCCTTGGTGTAGGACACGTGGCACACAGAGGCCATGCTGGGAAGGCTGCCGGTCAGCCGGCCTCCAGTGTCTGAGCAGCGAGGCCCTCCACTCTGTCGCGAGAACTCTCATTGGCACCCTCCCCATAAAAAGTTTTGGGACAAGATCCGAGTATATAGCTAGGTCAGATATTTTATTAAATATAAAGGGTTTAATTTGCCAAAAGAAAACACCTCGAGACCCCTTTTGTAGAACATTCGCTCATCAGACGTTTGAGGGAAGGCAGGGTGTTCGGTGAACCAGAAGCCGGTTTTGCTTTTAATGAGTAAAAGCGAAGAACTCACAGGTCCCGGGCAGCCCAGAGACTAAAGGTAGATTGAGAGCCCGTGTTCTACGGTATAAATAGTCAAATTGCTTATCAAAGGGTTTTTAAATTTTAAGTAGAAAATAGATGATAAAGAGGGCTTTAAAAATTGGTAAGAAAGTGAGTCAAAAATGTCCAAAGTAGTGCCCCTGTAGCTAGGCCATTGGGAGCTGCAGGGACAGAGAGTGCAGGCCCACAGCCTCCCCCGCCCTGGGTGCTCCTCCCTCCCACCCCAGCCCTGGTCTGCGCTGAAGCTCCTCCGACCGCCGCGCCCGGTGTGTCTCACTGAGCCTCGCGCGGAGGGGAGCCGGACTCCTTCTGGGGAGAATCAGGGAGGACACGAGTAGTAATGGGCTGTGATAGATAATTGTGGAATAAGAGAATGAGGAAGTAACTACATCAGAAAGGTCAGTGATGGATAGGGTAGAACTGCCCTTTGCCTTGCATACCAGGGCAGTTTATCAGTTTTGTCTTCTAATCAGCAGCTAGTCCGGGGTGATCGTAAGAAGGGATGTGTGTTTTTAAAAGTTTAAACACAAGCCATGAAGCAAGGGCAAAAAGAAGCATGGCCCGTGTGGCTTTCCGCGTGTTGTTGGCAGAGTGAAGGATGCTCACGTTGCAGTCGTCTGCAGACTAGGGATGAGCCCGTCGTCATGCATCAGGGTTTCTGACTTACGTTGATTTGGGCAGCGTGCCGTCATCAGAGGTGTTAGATGGTGAGACTAGATGTGTGATGACCTAGGGTTAGTGTTACATTGCGATGTTTTTTCACTTAGTGGATTTTTACTAATGCGACCAGTCATTGTACTACATAGTTGCTCTTGGGGTTTCATTGCCTTGATGTTTGAGGGTAATCTAACATTTCCATCAAGCGATCATTTTGCATGACTTTAACAAATGTTTTAACCAATTACGAAAAGGCAAGATGTTATTGGCATTATGTATTGAAATGTTAACATTTTAGTATCTGTAGCGTTTATTAGTTTGCAATATTGCATAATTGGTCATTATTTCAGGGGCGACGCTCTGTTCCTTTTCAGGTGATGTGATTGTAGCATATTTATACTGTTTGTGAAGTTGATACTATAGTGCTCAGTGTACAAAAAGATTTAGAAAAAATAAAAAATTGCATGTTCTTCTGAGTCGTGGGTTTTATTTACTACGCTGACAGTGGTTCACATTCTCTGTGTGTGTTTTCTCGTGTGTCGAAAGTGTGTTAGAGACGCTCAGGTTCAGGGAGCAGCCACTGGTCACTGAGGGAGCCTGGCTCGCAGGTCCTGGTGTCCAAGTGTCTGTGGCACAGCTCCGTGCTGGGCTTCTGGAGCTGCAAGAAGTAGGTTGTCCAGATCCTGGCAGGATAGCGATTACTAGAGGAACATTCTAGAAAAGTTTGCTTTTCCATGCTGTTACAGAAATGGACTCACCAGATGGATTATTGAGTCACGCCATCCTCCCATCGAATCTGCGCGCACGTGCGTGTGTGCTTGCGTGTGCGTGTGTGTATGTGTGCGTGTGCACGTGTGTGTAATGTGTAGCTCAATCTGGTTCTCACGCGTGCACAGCTGCTCTGAGCTGGGTGAAAATGGGAGAGAAGAAAACCAGTGCTCGAGTCCTGCTGGTCCTTTGGGTCCTGCGCCCTTTAGTTTCACTGCATGAGATGAGCTGTTTCACTTCGCTTGAGACCACGTGGTCCTGCTCACGTGGGGTGGTAATGACCTCAGGCGTGTGGGCGGGGCCTTGCCCCAGAGACTGGACAGAAAGGAGCGGTGGCTGCCTCATGCTGGAGGGCAGCTCTCAAATTCTGGGACATTTCGGCATCCGAGGCCAAACGCGCATCTTCATTGTCACTGGGAAATTTGTGTTACAGTTTACTTACGCCGGTTTTACATAGTGGTCAGAATCATGTTTATTGCCTAGCCATATAATTTTAGAACCTATTTGCTAAAATTCTCATGTAAGTCAAGAACTCCTTAAGAGTCGTGGCATGTTCTAGTGCCACAGTAAAAGATACTTGTAATCATGATCTTTTTTCTTACAAATACTAACCATTAGGAAATATTTTTAATGAAATTAAATTCTTTACTCTTCTGGCTAAAATACTAAGTTTAAACACTTACAAGACTACATAGCTCTCGGTAATACTAGGAATTCTCAGCCTGTCTAGAAGTAATCCCCGAGTTCAAAAACCCCTGACTTTCTGGCTGACTTGGGGTAAGGGAACGTCACTACCTGGGGAAGCGAGAACCGGGGGCACTGTTCCTCTACTCGTGGGTAAGTGCCGTTGAGGGAACCAGCCGCTGCCCGGAGCGTGCGATCGAACCTGCTCTGCGAAGGCTCTGCGTTCCCGCCTGCCCTTCCAGACTCGGCCACCCGGCGGCAGGGAAGACACAGGCAGAGACTGGTTTGCTGGGGTTGGGGGGCTACATGAAATGATCGCATTTTTAAATTCCAGGTTGTGGTGCCCCTACTGTTCCCTAACCACGGAATTGTGAGCACAGACCATGGTTACGCACACGAATTAGAAAACAGAAATTTCTGTGTAACGGTGAGCCCGCGCTGGGGGGGCTTGGCACTTCAGAAAGGTTGAGAATCCTTGGTTGAGGCCGATTAACCCGAGAATGTAAACTCTTACATGACTTTAAACCCTTTCATGCCTAGGGAAAAAAGACCACGTTTGGGATAGATAGAGCTTCGGAGGACCCGGTTTAAACCAAGGTATGTAAAACAATGTTTCCAAAGTCGAGTTGTAACTCCGCTGCTGAAAACAGTTCTCACCAATGAGAGAATTTACATTCTCACCATTTTAAGGAGTAGAATTAAGCAGGAAACATCTAGAATAGTTGGTAGAAATCCGCCGTGGTCACCTGCGTGGCCCAGGCTGGGCAGGTGGCGGTACTAGCGAAGCCCGGCCTGTGCTCACCGGGGCCTGCGGCCGTGGCCGCTTCACAGCCGGGCCACCCTCGGAGCAGAGCGCTTTCGGAATGGGCCTGGGTGGCGGTAGGGTGAGCTCCATCCTGTGTCCCAGTCGCAGGGAGGCACGAAGAAAGGAAAGAGTGTACGAATACAAGACTCGTCGAGAAGCAAGAACAATTATTTGCAGACCATTAGTAGGACGACTCTAAAAGTCAATAAAATGACAGTGATGCGACCTACATGGAGTGAAGACCACCCAAATTCGGCAAAAGCACGGATTACGTAACACTGTGGACTAAGGCAGTGTGGCTGTCTAGAGCACACAGGGGATCTGACCGTGTCTGTGGGGTGGCACCTGCAGCCATGTGTTCATGGACAATGTGCGCAGGTCCTTAGTTTCCAAGGCGAAGTATGCTTTTATTTTAAAAAATTTTTCTTTATTGATTTGAGAGAGAGGAAGAGGGACAGAGAGATAGAAACATCGATGAGAGAGAACATCGACTGGCTGCCTCCTGCATGCTCCCCACTGGGGATCGGGCCCACAACCTGGGCATGTGTCCAGGGAATTGAACTGGTGACCTCCTGGTGCAGGGTCGATGCTCCACCACTGAGCCACACCGGCCGGGTGAAGTATGCTTTTTATAGTTATTCACACTAGCACCTTTTTAAAAAAAACCTCACTCAAGGATGTATTATTTATTGATTTTAGAGAGAAAAACACCAATGTGAGAGAGAAACATCAGTCCGTTGCCTCCTGTATGTGCTCCAGTCCAGGATCAAACCTGCCACCTAAGTGAGCGCCCTGATCCAGAATCGAACCCACAACCTGCTGGTGTATGGGACTACACTCCAGCCAACTGAGCCACCCAGCCAGGGCTTTTAGGACCCCTTCCTTAGTTTTTCCAGGATTTTAACAAAACAAAATAATATATATTAAATTGCTTTGTGAGGACTTGAAATAAATGAAGTTTTACTTTTAAAAAATTGAGAAGGGACACGCTCCATATTCCTCAAATTAAGAAGCTGTTAGAAATATGTAAGGCCACCCTGGCTCCTCACGTTCATGCTCTAATTTTACCGTGTGTGCTTCTCTGCCTCTTGTCTTTCCAGGCGGCCGGGGCTCTGTCCTCAGCAGCCGCCCGCAGACCGTCTCCTGAGCCTCGCTTCGGCCCTTGGCTGCCTCGTCAAACCCGGGAGGGCAACACTGCCCCGTCGGAGACCCGCCCCGGCCGGCCAGAAGGCGGGTTCACCTCCACGAGCCTCCTCGTTCTATGTAGTTGTTCAGTTTGACTTAGTTGTTATGAAATGTTCCTTTTATACAATTTTAGGTAAAAGGCCAAGTGCAGGCATTCAGCTCACGGAGCCTGACCGCCCCTCTCTCGCAGCCCCTCCGTGGTCGGGCGTGGAATACGCAGTGGGCTGGTTGTGCTCAGAATTATGGCTCCTGACACTTGCATTGTTTTAGGCTGTGTTTCTGAGGATTTATAGACTGTGTATTGTCATACTTAATACAGACTGTTTATTTTTAAAGAAATGATTTGCCTTTTGAGGTTTTTCTTTCTCTAGCTTTTACCTGGGTTCTTTCTACTCTTTTTGTGTCTTACATTTTTTAAAAAAATGTTGTCCCGTGTTCACAATAAACCTGCTTGAGAGCGGGGGAATGGGAGGAACCTCAAGGCCCCGGGTCTCGGCCAGCCAGCAGGACCTGCAGTCAGTGCCTGCGAGTGGGTGCGGGCAGGTGCACAGGCTGCACTGCCGTCTGCCCGCGCCTGCGCCTGGCTTACAGCGCCGCTTGGCAGGCCTCCTGCAGCCCCCGCCCTGGGCTCCTGCGGGCCTCCAGGCTTCTCTGTGGGACTCGGAAGCTTCCGGGGCGTCACACCGTGCCATAACCCCAGGGAAGGGTGTCCATGCGCGTCGGGGGACGTGCTGCCGTTTGAAGCCGAGGCCCGTTCTGCCTGGTGGCCTTGGAAACCCTCCTGAGTACCGAGCGCGGTGCCGAGAGGCCCAGCCCTGAAGTCCTGTGATTGTGGGATCAGACCGGGAGGGGTCGATGCCACGTTTCATCCGAGGGTGCCGAGCATGTTTTCAGGCACAAGAGCCGCGGCGAGCGTGTGCTCTCGGAATCGGGGTACAGCGTTATCCGTTTATCTTGACCGTTCTTTCCTTAGTTAGGGGGGAGCCATTCTTACACTTCTCCATGATACATTTTAATTTTAGTTTTGTTTGCGTTGTAATCATCATCTCCCTGATTTACGATAGGGTCGGGGCCTCTGAAAGGACTCTCCGTTTACGAAAAGCAGAAGTCAGCCCTGGCCGGTTTGGCTCAGCGGTTAGAGCAGCGGCCCGCAGACCAGAGAGTCTCGGGTTCGGTTCCCGCTAAGGGCACGTACCTCAGTTGCAGTTTGTCCCCGGCCCTGGTTGGGGCCATGTGGGTGGCAGCCACCCCGTGTGTCTCTCTCACATCAATGTTTCTCTCCCTCTCTCCCTCCCGCTCTGTCTGAAGATAAATGCAAAAATGTCCTCTGGTGAGGATTAAAAAAAAAGAAAGAAGAAAGAAAGAAAAGCAGAAGTCTTAAAAAATCTGTAGCCATGTGAATTATATTTATAGAGAAAACAGTCTTTTTGCTTTAAACATCGAACATATTTGTTCCTACTGATAATTTTGGAAGAGCGTTCAATTTTGGGTTAAAAGCCTTTCGACTTCTGTCACTTCCTTTGTCGCCCCTGCACGAGAGTGCGTGTCCTGCTGGAGGTGTTAGCTGCACTTGCTGCCTTGTTACATGGCTGGTGCCCTGGCCTGTGTCTGGTGGTCAGCACCGCGTGTTGCTTATGACCCTGCATACCCTCTGCATGTTCCTTACGTTCTACTGAACAGTGTTGATGCTAAATGAATGTTAATAGGTAAGTAATGTGTGTGTCTGTTTTAAGAAATCATCACTGAAGTAGAGTTGTTCTTTTTTATTTTAATGACTCTGGTCACTGTCTCCAAAAGAGAGAAGAAAAGAAAACAGTAGTCCGAATGAGACTGTCTTTCAGAGTGGCATCTGTCACTCCAGGCCAGAAACCAATAGACATCAGTCCTAGTGGGAGACAGTGGGTTGAGATGGTGGTCAGGTGGCCATTCAGTTTTATGTAATTATCTGCCGGATCATGGGAGGGCTCACCCGAGCCACGTGGATTGACTCATGAAATCCCGACAAGCCTGTGAAGACAAGACTGTTATTACCTCTAGTTTACAGCTGAGACAATGCAGAAAGTTCTAACTTTTCCATAGCAACAATGCACTAGATTTTT